CTAAGTTAGTTCATGACTTCTCCCTCTACGATCCAGTACAAGGCTATTCTAAGGGTTCTGAGATACCTCAAGACAACACCAGCATCAGGTCTTTTCTTCCCATCCAAGGGTTCCTTTCAATTAAAAGCCTTCACAGACTCAGACTGGGTTGCTTGTGTGGATACAAGGCGATCAACTGATGGGTTCTGCATATATCTTGGTGATTCTCTCATCTCTTGGAAGGCAGAGTATCGCGCTCTTGCCTTCACTCCTTCTAAAATCCAGTGGCTTCAATACCTTCCACAAGATTTCCAAATGCCTTCTTCGCTCCCTGCTGCTCTTTATTGTGACAATCAAAGTGCCATTTACAATGCCAAGAACCCCACATCCCATGAATGAACGAAGCACATAGAGTTGGATTGCCACTTCGTCAGAGAAAAACTCCAGTCAGCCAACCTCAAACTTCTCCATATCTCCTCTTTTGATCAGTTGGCAGATCTATTCACAAAACAATTATCACCAGCACCATTCACCACATTGCTCTCCAAGCTTGGTGTGCGGAAATCTCTGCCTACCAGCTTGCCCGGGGGGGGGGGGGGGGTAACAAATTGAAAAATCAAATTCCAACGATCGTCTTCTCAGCGACGTCGTTCAATTCTCATCATGGGACTCTTTGTTGCGATGTTGTTTCCAGTCATGATCGTTGCGCTGTCGTTTCTTCTCAAACCGAAGATGCTTGCTGCGATGTTGTTTCTTGTAATGAGCTTGCATCGATACGCAGTCGTTCTTTCCTTGTTCGTTGATGTAATTTCTTTCATCCCAAGTCAGAGTTATTTTCCATTCCAAGCTATCAAACAAATGTAAGAACTTTGTCATCTTCTTCTTTGTTCTACCTATAAGAAGGAAGATATGCTAATGAGAAAAACCAAGTGAGCTAGGTTTTATCACTTCAATCTTCCTTTGTTATCAAACCCTCATAATCACTCTATCGATCCCATATCCAGAAATAACCGTTGCTGTTTGATAACTCCAACTCACTGGATTGAGATGCCCCATCTGCACCACCTACGTTGCGGCCGCGTGCACTACGGTGCTGAAGCCCGTCACCAAGTTCATAGGGAGGAAATCACATGCTCCCCTCCTTCTCTATTCTCCTGCGGACATCACTTATGATAAATGAAGAGGATGACATGTTAGCGGTTTGACTAAAACTTGCCAGTTGGACGCATTAATGCAGTTCCATAGCCGGTACCTGCTGCCGTGGAAAATTGCGTTGGACTCAGGCATTGGCATCCTATTTTTCTAGTTCTACTGCCCGGTCTAACACAGTTTGGTAATTATTGGTTTTTATATTTTATTATGTTGTTTGTATACTGACTCATCCTGAATACCACAATTAAAATCCCGACTATTAGCCGGGTGTAATATAGGATAAGTATGTTTTAAAAGTCAAACCCCTGTCGATACATGTAATCATATTTCAATTGTTTGAAATATTAATATAGCAATCGATTTTTGGTTAAAACTATGGACTATAATAAAAGCAATTGGAAATGTAAATGGTTTTGAACACTAATTGAGAATGTTTCACTCATGTGTTGCTCCTCCTAGCTAGTAATCACGATTTGTTGAACCGAATGCAAATGTATGGTAAAAGCAGTTGTAAACCGTAGGGAAGTGCAACAAGTGAACGAACTTCACTCTCTCGGTCACTAGGCCAAGGGATATCAAATCAAGCTACCGAAGTAGCTCTCTTGGCCAATCGACTAAGGATTTCTTAGACTTCTCCCTAACTGTAGTCCGGACAACCAAAATACAACCTACCCAAGGTGCTAACACGTAGTATGAGGTTTGTTCTAATTCAAACTAAGCAAGTGACTCAGTTTCGCCAAGGAATTCCAACTTTTAAAAGCCTCTTAGCAAGAAGGGGATTTCCCTCTAACTAGGTCAAATTGGCATAAGAGTTTGAAATGGAAAACACAACACAACCGTCATGAAAATACCTCAATACTTATATTATAACAAAACCACACACAAATCATTCAATCCATACAAACATTAACATAATTCTAGCTAGGATAGTACTCAACATCGATCCAAACGATAGAACTCGGGGGATTCAAACTAAGAGAGCTCCACTAGTTGTAATTAGCTAGGTCAGTGGTTAGTAGATAGCGTCGTATTTTCACATGTTTGCACTCTTGTTTCTTAACCGTTTTGGCTCAAATTTGTGGTTTCTGGGCCTATTTTACGCTAGGTTGTGTTATTTTGTCATATTTCAGGTCCTAGCGAATAAAGGGATGCATAGGCGCAAGTTTCGGGTCTTTTGGAGATCGTTTGGTCATTCGGGAGAAGAAACTCGAGCATTACCTGAGGAAGAATGAATTTCTACCTCATATTATAAACAAATAATCATGGAATCTTGTCATGAAAAGAAAGAGAACAAGACTACAGGCTTGTGGGATCAAACGGTGACTGATTCGGAGTCCGATTGAGGGAGAAACGAAGCATTAAACAAGAGCGGAGGAAGAAATACAGGCAGGAGAAATACGACCATATTTTTCCCTCCCATGCCCGTATTTTTATTGCCGAGAGAAGTCTTGGATGCGCTGAGACTTAACCAAAATGCCCGTTTTGGGCAAAATACGGGCAGGGAAGAATTACGACCGAAGTTCTGCCCGTATTTCGCCCAAAATCGGGTTTTTGAGGCAGATTCGAGCCAAAGGAAAGTGATTCAACTTTTTGTAGCAAAAACAGAGTTTTAGAGAGAGAGGAAGTGCGAAGAACAAACCCTGGGAGCTATTTGGAGTGGATTTCTCACCATCGAAACCCAGATTGCATCCCCAGGAGTGAAGATTGATTATACTTGGTCGCAGTTTGTTTTGTGTTTTAGCGTGTCATTATCCAGGTTAGTTAGTTTAGTTTTCCTAATCACTATTATAGGTTGGCTAGATAACAAAACCTTAACCCGAAGTAAGGTAAGCCTAGATCCCCGTGGTTCGATAAATTTTATTACTTGCTTACCCTATGCTACACCAGGTCGTCAGTTATACTTGGGCGTCAATTGGGATGTGTAAATAGAGTCAAGCATCCCTCTCCTTAGGCTTCAAGGAACCTTCCTTTGCAAGTGACTTCTTCAAGAAGGTGATCAAGACCGACTTGGGTATTCCAGGTTGGGTCATCTTCATTCGACTCGGTTTGGGGTTATAAGAAACGATTGTGGGAGAATCAGGTTGCACTGGTAGCATTGAGGCTAAGACTACGAGTATTACATTTTCTCCTAGTCTTACTATTATCTTAACCATTTAATGTGATCATACTAATCTTTGGGGTCTAAGTTTTGTTACATCTCGTCATGGTTGTAAATATTTTGCATTTTTTTGTTGATTATGCCACTCGTTATACGTTGGTATGTTTTTTGCATCTTAAATCCGACCCTTTATCTATGGCTACTAAGTTCTTAAAAATTATCCAAACCCAATTTGATAGAACGGTTCGTGTAGTCCGGTCTAATCCTAGTGGCGAGTTTAACTCTATTCCTCTTCTCAGTTTGTATCAATCTTTTGGCATTCTTACTCAAAAATCGTGTCCTAGAATTTCACCACAAAATGGTTTGGTTGATAGCAAAAAAAGTCATGTTTTAGAGGCCACTAGAGTGCTTTTATTGACATTAAATTTTCCTTCCTCTTTTTAGCTAAACCTAATCCCAATGCTGTTTGTCAGATTAAGTATCAGATTACCTCCCATCTTTGGCCATGAGAGTCCTTATTACCGACTTTTTTCTAAACAACCCCCTTACTCTCGTTTAGGAGTCTTTGGTTGCCTTGTTTTGTGCTTATTACTCAATCTGAGTGTACTAAGTCAACCTCTAAAATTGTTTGATGTGCGTTTCTTGGCTATAGTGATATTCATAAGGCTATCTCTGTTCAATCCCGCTCTTTAGCATCTTTTTACATCCTACAATGTGGTATTTTTATAGAATCCGATATTCTGTTCTTATTCGTCCAAGTTAGTTCCCCCTTAGATACTTCTTTAAGTCTTCTTATTTTCTTTGATGATGATGTTGACGATGATCCCATGGATCCCATCCCACCGCCCTCTCCCCCACCTCACCGGCCTCATCTTCCACGTTGTCCTCAAACCCAGATTCTCCAACTTCATCACTTTCACCTGCGCCGGCCCCACCTCTTTGTCGGTTCTCGCACACTACTCTGGGTAAACCGCCTTCATATCATCAGGATTATGGTTTGTTTTAGGTTGATCCTATTTATTTTCCCATCAAATATTCACAGGGTCAAGGTGACCAGCAATGGGAAGGTGCTATGACTGAAGAGATCTCAACCCTATATGCCACCAATACTTGGGTTCTCATCCCTCATCCTCTGCCATAGGTCCTGGTTGTCGGCAGCAAGTGGGTTAATATTCTCAAGATTCATCCTAATGGCTTCTTGGGTCGCTACAAGGTTTGGCTTGTGCCTCAATGATTCACGCAAGAGTGTGGTGTTTCTTATGTCGCTCATGTGGCCAAGATGGTTACACTTCTGTCTCTTTTGAATGTTGCCTTTAAAGACCAACTAGCAAACTTATTGATAGAGGATTTCTCTGATAGTCGTCACACCTTTTTAGCTGACAAATTGATGATGAGAACTCTCCATCAATTTGGGGAGGGTATTGATTTATGAGTTCTTGTGTAACGGGCCTTGGCCGATTCTCCAGGCCTCGGTCCATTGGCCTTGTCATTCACGTCCACTGTCATTGGCTAGGATAGATAGGTGAGAGCCGACTTGAATATATATGTAACGTGCTCTTGAGCTCAGATAGTAGGAACATACGAACCCTTCTCTCATGGACTAGTCTTGTTCGACACAATCGAACAAGAAAACCACGTAAATCTTGTCTAGCATCAATTTCGATTTCCGTCTCGTTAAACCTCTCGTCTCTATTAACAAATTTCACCCTAAAACGTGTTTAGGTCAATTAATGTTAGAGAGCTATCTTGTGCTTTGTCATTTAAGGTTTAAGGAATAATCCAACATTTAATAGAAAACTGACATTTTTTTAAATTCATGAGTTCTTGTAAAATCTCTAAAATTAAGCATGCTCTAAACGAGTATAGAGATTGATAACCTCCTGAAAAGTTTTCATGATTCACCCAAATGTAAGAACCTGTCACGATTGTTAAGAAGTTAAAATTTGAAAAAGCGGTCATCTCTAATTGTCTCGAATTTGATTAATTATGTCCACCGCTATTTCTTACAATTCAGAGACCATGAAAACTTTCCAAAATGATGCACATCAAACAAGTACAAAGAAAAAAGTTCAGTCCTCTGTAGTTTGTACCATATCAGTTTGGTGAACCCTATACAGTCCGCCTATCATTCCATGATGGAAACAAGAACCCACGAATGGAGAGAGGGAGCAACCTGACAATCACACATAGAATACCTGCTAACGAGGCGGCACTGTGGCTGTCATCGTCATATGTCTAGAGTCAGTGAGAACAGTTTGAATGTTGATGAATCCAGCTTCCTTCAGACTTCCATTTAGATCAGTCAGATAGAACTCATCTAGAAATGGCTCGGTGCTCTTCAACAGCGTGAACAAAACCGGCGACAGTTCCTGAGTACCATCATCACGGAAAATGGGCCTAAGATACTTCCATGACTCAAAATCAAAGTGGGCAAACAAACCAGCAAGGAACACAGATATTGAATTTCTCAAGTAACCGTGGGAATTGGGAAAGTAGGGGAACCATACCTGGAGGGTCTTTGACTTGGGCTGCACCAATTTCAAACAATAATGAACAGGATTAACATAGCATGACAAATAGCAGAACATCGGATAAGAAGACAACATAGTCAAATGCTCGTTGCACTTTCTTACCGCTTGATCCATCAGTGCAATGGTTCCTCCGGGTCGAAGTAGCCTAAATGCTTCATTGACTATGGCAACTATTGCTCTTTCCGGGCATTCATGAAACTGCACATTTGAATCGGATGTCATTAAGATCTCCTAAAGGCTAAAACAATTCATGTATATGGCAATAAGGCGTTATCTTAGGGAAGAAGGCATACCACAAGAGAAATGGATACAACGTCAAATGACTGTGAAGGCAGGCCGGTGTTTTCTCCATTAGCGTGGATCCATCCTACTATATTCTTTCTTGGGTGCCCGCTGTTCTTCTCCTTGAATTGCGCTACAGCGAGAAAATAAGGCGAGAGATCCAGCCCCTGCAGCATGCATTTTACATAGAGCCAGCCATTACAAGCAGCTGAAACCATGTTGATTGATGGTCTACAATCACAATACACATTTACACTACACGAAGGTAGGTTTGATGAACTGATCCAATCATCCAACAAGTCTAACTCACTGTGACATTTGCCGAAGGAAACTTGTCCGCAAGGAATCTTGTGCTGACGCCTACGGAGCAACCAACATCGAGAATGTCCCTAATCGTCGAATTGTCAGAGTATTGCTGATGCTGCTGCTCAATAGCACGGAGCCAATTTCCACGAACGATTTCGTTTGCTTCCTCTACGGAGGAAGCGCTCGGTACCGCTCTGAACACCATTGACATGGTTGCTGGTTCTGCCTCTGCTGCAGCCTAGCAAGTAACAAGTGATGGATCGAGCATGGAACTCATGAGCAGGTGCAGGATCATAACAAATCAAACATAAAATGTTCCAAAGTAATGGATCATAACTCACCAGCCATGAAAGATTGCCCTCATCATATGCATGGAAGGGACTTAGGTAATCTACAAAGCAAACGATTTGCATAACAGTATTCAGTTAGACAAGGCAATTCTAATTTGTTTCAGGCAAAAGACTAAAACGTACAGAGAAGACCCAGAAGAAGATAATTGACAGAAGAAGTGGGAAGGGATGGAATTTTACAATCAGGGTACTGGATGGAAGGGTTGAGAATGGTGTCCATCTCCTTGTGAACATCGGATTGAAGAATCTTCCTTGTCATTTCTCGCCATTGAATGTTCTTCTTCTCGGCAGTGCTGTTCAATCGATTACCCATGAACCGCTAACGTAAGAGACATTACACACACACACACAAAAACAAACGTCTGTATGCAATGGGAATCAGTGATATGAAGGAGAGTGAGTTGAGAAATTACCTGATAAGAACTTGCCGGGCGCCGAGCTTGAGAAGAGAGTAGAGAGGCTTGAAAGAAACCATGGCACCCACTAGGCGAGAGAGGGGAGTCTCGCCTGCCCATTTGGGCATTTCCAGCTGCCCCTCTTCGTACTCCGTCGTTGTTGCTGCCATCTTACAACGAACTGAAGCTGTTGGAGCTCTCCTTCTTCCTCTCCTTGTTGTAGTTATTCCATTTGAGAGGTGAAGGGAAGAGAGGTAGATGTAGTTGTGGGCTTGAGAAGTAAAGGCCATTTGATTTGGGAGAAAGCGGCTCTGTGGTTGGGCTGTGCAGGCGAAGGAGGAGGCAGAAGTAAAATGAAATTCAGACAGAAATGGAATGGGTAGTGTGGGAGAAGCAGGTGAGGTGGCGCGATAGATTATGAAGATGTTGATGAGAGGGCGTGTAATGGAGTAATGGTAATCTGGAGATAGGCAGCTCATTGGCTCTCCTTATCGCCACGTCAAACACCGCGACTCTGTTTGTTTTGTGGACATGTGATTCCCTTATGCCTATTCCTCTACCTTGTTTACATCTAAAAATTATCTTGTACCACATTGATGAACTATAAGGTAATTAATGAATTTATATGGTCACATCAATTATAACAACTATTGTTATTTAAGTTGAGCTTTATGAGTTTTGATTTTAATTTCAAGCCACTAAGTCATAGTTATTAGGGGTAAGTGATGTGGTTTACTTGTATCTTAAGCTAGCTTACTGTTCACGTCTCCTTATCCTTGTAGTACACTACTCTTCTATTCCTAGGGTATAAATACCCCTTGTGTTAATGATAATACAAATGATTCACTCAAAACTTACATCGTGTCAAAGTTGGCTTTCCAATTCTTAAACCCAAAAATTTTTCTAACGCACACGTTCAGCGTCTGCTTCGTGTTCTAACGCCAGACCTCGTCCGATGAGGCCTCTTCCAACGATTCTTCTGGTGAAGTTTCTCTCGTCATGTTCAATCCGGCAACTTCCCTCCCACTGAAGCTCACCGCCCAAAACTTCCCTTCTTGGTGTGCCCAACTCTCGTCTCTCCTAGATGGCCTCGATCTCACCGACTATCTTGATGGCACTTTTGTTGTATCGGACGTCATGGTCACGGTCAATGGTGCTTCGGTTTGCTACCCTGCTTATCTACGCTGGTATCGTCAGGACCAGCTCCTCTTGAATGGCATCTTTGCCTCCGTCTCAGAAGGTGTTCTACCCTTCATCAGTTCATCGGCCACATCTTATACGGCTTGGTCGACTCTTCAAAGACTTTATGTTGGCTCCTCTCAATCTCGTGTCATGACCCTTTCCGATCGCTTGTATGAAGAGTCGAAGGGTGATCGCGACGACAACGCTGGACGTGGTTCGGGTCGTTCATCGTCACCTTCCTCATCCTTTTTTATATGGTTCCTGGGATCCTTCTCGTAGCGATGATGATCATCGGTCTGCTATAGTTATTTGCATGTACTGTGAGAAGCCGAGACACTCGGTCCGCAAGTGTTTCCAACTATTCCCTAAACAAACAAACTCAAGCAAATACCACCACCACTACTGCTTCTCCTCGGCCATCTGCTCCAGCTGCGGATCCTTGGCCCATGGACTCCGTTGCCACACATCATGTGACTCATGACCTTGGTAATTTAGCTCTCTACTCCGACTATAATGGCCCTGACGAGGTGTATTTCGACAATGGTACGGGTTTGGCTATTATACGCATTGGTTCTTCTTCTCTATTGAACTCTACTCGTCGCTTGACTCTTGACGATATTTTGTATGTGTCTGATTTTCGTAATCGCTTAATCTCTGTTACTAATATTTGTCGTACTAATCCTCTCTCGCTGGATTTTTTTCCCATTCATTTGTTGTGAAGGATCTTCAAACCCAATTTCCTCATCAACTTCAACTTCAATTTCGAGTTCAGTGTGAGGGTGACCCCAAACCACAAGCCTTTTTGTTGCTTCCCTTAAATCCCTCTCTCAAACTAGTAGTCGAAGAGTGCGATTGATGTTGTTGTCTAGCAGTGCTAAAGGTGCTAGGTTCCTCCGGGTCATACACCTCTTGCACACACTTCACACAACACAAACGATAGCCAAACAAGCAAGATCCAAACTCAAAATGCAAGAAAAGAAATGTTAGAGTAAAAGTAGACTACTTTTTCCAAATAATAGATAGAATGTCCCCGAAAAAGGAGTCAGAAAGCTTGACTCGCTACCACTACAATTTAACCAAGTGCAACTATAATCGGGTGTAGGATATGATAAGTATTTCAAATATCAACCTATACGACCTATATAACCTTTCTTCATCCTTCTACAAATTATCTAGCAATCTAATTGTTGTTAAGGCTAAAGAACTAAAAAAACAAGAGATTAAAAAGATGTTTGAACTCAATCGAGAAAAGCTCACTCAGATGTTATTCCCCCAGGTCTCGTCCTTAGGTTGCAAACGCGATACTCAAGTGCGATAATTAGACATTCATATACCATTAGGAGATCTAAAATATATAGCTAGGACCACATGTTGGAGTGCATCCTAGCCCGCTTAATTGGTCTAATTGAAGGGGCGTACCACACAACCACAACATACAGGTAATCGATTCCACTTCCTCGAGAATTCACCCGGAACAGACAAAAGTCACCAATCACAATGCTTCATGGAACTCTACGTTGATTGACAAGCTAAGTGACCCAAATTGCTCTAACGGGATTTTCTCACTCCTAGGTCAATTGTCCCAAAATGGAGGGATTTGATCAAGAACACTCAATTTGCATGAAAATACCTCAATCAATATATAAATCACAATAGGCATCAACAAAAGATTTCATAAACCACAATAGAGGGAAAACACATGGGAAAGTGAATCTTCTTCTACATAGTTGCTTGGAGATGAGATCTGCCTTCCAATTGCCTTGGGTAGATCCAAATCACCTCCAATTCTCCTTTTCTCGTATCTCTATCTCTCTCTAACATTGAAGAACTGATGTGCTAACGCATTGAGCTTTACATTTATAAACTCGATCGTCAACACTACTAGCTACCTTAACCTAGGATAAGTGCACCCTAGATCGATGAAGTAGTAGTAGTACAGTGGTGATCGAGGTCGTATTCCAAGGGTCCCGCTATCATAGGCTACTTAGATGTGGTAGTTATCTAGTCAACATGTTACTTAGCAGGTGAGCAGTTGACGATTATTGACCAAGGGATCGGTAAAGGAAAAGAGGCACTCGGGGTAACTCCTTTGCCCTAAACTTAAGTTCATCATGCAAATGGCTAACTATGTTGGGTGTGCCGGATGAGGTGCGAAACTCGCTAAAGTGATGCTTTCAATGATTACTCTGCCTCCTCATAGTATGCTCCTAGAGACTCATTATCACCTCAGTCAAAGCTCATGTACTAAAGAATAATCGCTAGTTCCTCTCAATAGGTTTAACCTATCATGTACACAAAAGAGATGGATCGATGATGCTTGCATTGTGTTAGGAAGGCATTCCTCTAGTTGGGGTCTGGTCGTCTCGCCCACTAAAAGGAACCCTAAGATCATTCATCTAGCCCTAATTAGCTAGGCGGTCCCACTCTGACCTAAAATTCCCCCCTAGTTATGTAGACTCAGTTATAGGATAGCAGAGAAGAGTTGGGAGACAGAAGCCACAACAAAATCAAGCATAAAATCACTAAAACAAATAAATCCATTCATAAACATTAACTAAATTGCATGCATATATATATATATATATATATATATATATATATATATATATATATATATATATATATATATGGTGGTGTCTTCGGTGCACTCACTTTTTTGGGTGCATTCAGTGCACTCGCTTCATAACCGTCATTTTAAACATGCGATTTATGTCAAAATGATGCCAATCATCACTTATGATGTGATGAACAATAACGCACATGAATTTGCACAAAAACCATTAAAGATTTACTTTAATTTGAAGGATTTAGAGTTAAGAGATTTAGGGTTAGGGTTTGGGTTTACAATTTGGGGTTTAGGGATAGAACTCAAAATTGGAGGTCTAGGGCTTAGGATAATTCGCTAATTAGTTGTTAGCATATGTTATATCATCATATTACACTAATTCTACAAATTAAAATTCAAAATCTGACACCTTAAGACTAGTTTTTGAGTTGGGTGCATTGAACGCACTCATTTTTGTGAGTGCACCGAAGTGGTCACCATATATATATATATATATATTAAAAATCTAGGGTTTGGGGATTTTAACCCCTAGTACCTTAGTAGACTACTCCATAAAGGAGGGGAAAATATACACGTGTAGATACAGAAGAAGACTTGAATTGGGGAGAGCTCCCGTCCTCGTTGACTCCTCATTCTCTTCTTCTCCTTCCTTCAACTTCTCTCTCTAACCTCACTCTAGAACTAAAAATTTGAAAAATCCATCTTTTCAAGGAGATAATCCCCTATTTATAGAATTATGAGAACACAGACAAGTTCACGGGAACGAGACACAAGATCGCGACTGTGATCTTTGGGAGAGAGGCTGTGATCTTAAGGGTCACCATTTATTCCTTGATAGTAGCTGAGATCGCGGGTTGACATCTTCGTCGTAATTCTTGATTTCTCGGCCGCGAACTTTATCACAGGCACGGATGAAGAGAACTGTGAGGCGACTTTCGAGATACTCTGCTCCTCCCTTGGTGGCTACTCCCGAACTTTGCCCCCTTGGCTCCATATTTTGTGGCCATGATTTTAGCCCTGAAGGGTGCGATCTTGGTGCTCTAGTTCACGCCCTCTCTTCATGGCCGTGATCTTGGCTTCTTCGATCGTGATCTCAACTCTTTCAGCTGTGATATCCATTTTTGCCCCTTTTTCTACACATGTGGCCCTTTTTGCTAGCTAAGTTGTTTATATCATATAATATACCCTAAAATACCAATTTTATCTCATATGAATGAATTGAGGGTATATTTGATGACACATTGGCAATGAATACCATGAAATGACTCAAAACAAACCTAATTGTGGATTCTAAATAACATCATTTTGGGTGTTATCAAGAACACTCTCAATTCTCACTATAGAACTACCCCCTCAAATTCAGCTCACTCTCCTTTATATAGCCTACGTGTGCACATATCACATTCTCTCTTCACGCCCATGAAGTATGCAATGAAAACGTGACCTCAGCACAAAACCAGTCGTTTCATTAACATACTTCATGGCTTGGCTACTAACTTTATGGTTTGGGACTATGATCCTTGCAATGCCCACAAGCCATACGAAAGCTCTTGGAAGTGTGAAAACTTCACAGTTTTCCTGTCCACTTCACGAATGTTGCCATAAAAATTGCTCCAAAATCGTGATCCTTGCACTTTAATACATTCTATCCCTTTTTTCTGACTTTCAACCCTGGTGCAATCTTACCTGCTAAAGTCAGAAAAATGCCAAAACAAGACCAAACCTAGCGTAAAATAGCTCCAAGGACGTGCAAAAGTGTGTAATCTATCCCGAATCAAACCCCCTAAATGTCTTTATGATTTTCATGTATGTCATGGATGGTTGGTGTGAGTTGTTATACATTAGAAGTCCTCGAGGAATACGACCCTAGGGGCTCTTAGGATTTTATCACTTGTTTCCACATCAAGTTTTTGGCGCCATTGCCGGGGATTTCTAATCATATATAAAAGCATCCAACGATCATATTTAGTATTGAGTCTTTTTTTTGTGCTAGATTATTGTATGAGTCTAGTAGCTATTAGAAGATAGAGCAATCGTAAAGATCGTGGAAGAGATAGTTCAAGAAGGAGGAGCATCAAGTTCACCCATCTTGAAGACGAAGGAAGGAGCATCTAGATTAGGAGAAAAAGAACCCTCAAGCCCCACCAATTTTGAGCAACCTTGGAATAGGAGGACAACATTGACGAATTCAACATTGATTTGGAGGAAGAAGGAGCATCTTCAACTTCTTCAACACCAGCAATGGCTGGAGAATAAGGAAAAAGACAAGCAATCGTCCCACCAACTCTCTATGAGTAATCATGGCCAATAGCATCCAACATCACCTCAAGCATTGCTACGCCACCAACGACAATAGAAATCATAACTCAACTCATCCAGATGGTGCATCAAGCAGGGAGATTTGGAGGAAGGAATGATGATGATCCGGTGCAACACTTCAAGACATTCTTAGAGATCATCAATTCCATACCACGAGATGATGCTGCCAAAGATGGAATTCTACTATGACTTCTCTCATTTTCACTTGAAAGAGGAGCAAAGCAGTGGATCGAATACTATCCACCAAGAACCTTCTTCACATGAGAGACCTTAGCACAAGCATTCATCGAGGAGTACTTTCCACCATGGAAGACAGAAGAGTTTAAGATGAGATTAATCGATTTCAACAAAAGGAAGGAGAGACTTTCTATGATGTTTGGAGGAGACTCCAGGTGTATATTAAGGCATGCCCCCATCATGGATTCACACTGGAGCTGATTGCTAAGTATTTTTCCAAAGGCCATGATCACGACACCATGATGATGGCAAACTAGTCAGCCGATGGAGATTTCACAACAATAAATAGAGTACAATGCCAGAAGCATTTTGCCACACTAGCAAGGAAGTCAAAGAACTGGTCCAATCGTCCATCAACGATCAAACCATTGAAAGCTTCCCAAAGAAGGGAGGATGATATCGTCACCCTCTGTGTATACATGAAATATCTAACCTATAAACTAAGGAGAACTTCAATAGAGCCACAGAATGGACCGGTGACATTCTTGTTTGTTTGTCAAGCATTTGGAGAAGAAGGTCGTAAAGGATTTGAATGTGATAGCCACTAATGGCAAGGACATGCTGATGTCGATTATTTAAATCAAGCCTATCAATTGAGATCTCGCCCGTGATTATGAGAATTCGTTTCAAATCTAGCTTGATCATGATCAACAAATTTCTTCTATGAATGTGAGATGCATTCTCCAAGCTCCTTATCTCTACATCTGGCCTCCAATCACCCAATCCAAACTCAAATAAGTTGAAATCGCTTTATATTCTCAAATAAGCACCAAAGAGTAGGGGTGTGAAAATGGTTGTATTTTTGCGCTTAAACCGAAACTGCACGGAATAAAAGTGGTTTGTGGTTAACCAAAAACTTATTAAATAGGTGTT